ACTATGGAGGCTTGTGGGATTTGTTAAAACACAAATATGGTGAGCTTTGTCGAAACAAAAATCTTTGTAATTTAACTGCTCATAAATTTGATGTTGAAGAAGATTTATTTGGGAACCCTGAGGAGGATGAGGACGAGGCCATGGGATTCTCGCCAAAACACGGCTCATAACCATGAAAATCTACCTTTCTTATCGCCTGTCAAAACCCAGATTTTGATGTCAGCCTGGGCTAGTTTGGCTATAGTCTCTGGGACCCCATCTTGCAGCTTGTCTTCAATGGCAGTGGCTCCAATCATCTGTATAACACAAGTAAGAAAGTGGTGAAAAATGCTCTTTTGTAACAGCTGCACACAAGAATGCATAGTGTTGAATGTGTAGTGCTAACGCCATCTTGTGATCTGACTTTATGAACCCCTTTCAGACTACTGACTGTGAAAAGGCACTAGAGGAAACAGAACTGAGTGATAAAGCTGATAATTATATTGTGTGAGTTGCTCTGGCCTAAGATGTTAAGAAAGTAGTATTTGAGCCTACCATCTTACATATAGGCTTAATGTACAATTTCCTTTGTTGGGTTTCAGTTTTATCCATGACATTGCTGATTCAAGCCTGGGTCACTTCTAGAGCCATTTGTGACCATAATTCCCCATACAGCCGCATACAACTGGCAAAGCCCCACCAAGGAAGGCTGGCTGGTTTTTAGCTACAGTCCTTTTTAACTTTCTACTACGTGTCACTCTTCTAGTCAGAGCTAACTGTATTCTGCACCCTGTAGATCCCAGCTGGACAATTCTGCATGTCCTTGTTCTCCTCTTGTAGTACAGATGCCTTTCCCAGAAAACAGAGCCTTAAACAGTCTGGGTGGATATACATACTGAGAGGGATTTAAAATGCAGCAACTGCTATTGGTACCACTAGTCATTTGCTGCGTATTTAATACATCTCAATAAAAAATAGCAGCTTTGTTTTAAAACAAAATGGAGGGTGAACTTACAATCAGGTTGGTCTCTATTTGCTCATAGACCCGATCCAGAGCTGCTTCTCGGTTCTGCATGACAACACTGGCTTCCTTGTGCTTTCTGTTCCAGGCTTCAAACACCTCTTCACTGATGTCTTTGTAGCACAGGCAGAGAGTGCGAAGGGTCTCGCTTGCAAAACTCTGGCACAGATAGAGATTACAATAAATGATATAGCCTGTAAGTCACTAGATAGATCAAGCTTTCTAAAAACGGAACATCTGTCAATATATTTTCACAGATTTCACAACAAGATGGACTAGACAAATCTAGATTCTACTACTGTAGCTTTTTTCTGTATTGAGCATGTCTTTTTCAAAAGGCTGTACAATATTACACATATTCAGGCATTTATATGGGCCTTTTCAGAAGTAAATCGGGTTTGAACATGAATCTGCAGAGAAGAGTTTAATTAACGTGGCATGAACATGAATGTCTTTTTCTAATGCAAAGAAACAGTGTGCATCAAGTCATGTGACGTGTATTACTTAATCCAAAGCCCATATTGTAGATGCAAAGTACAGCAAGAAACAAGAGTAAACCACTTACATCCAGAGCAACCTGGGTAGTGTCCGTGTTCGGGGAATTGCTAGCCAAGCGTTCATAGATCACGGTGTCTGCTCCCTTACAGTAGAGGCGGATTCTGCCATCCGGGAATCTCACTGCAAACAAT